GAAGGTGCAATGGTAGTTAGGGTGCTGGCCGCCCACACTGCTGACTGCAGTTCAAGTCTCAGAACTGGTGGCTTACTCTCTCTCTCTCTCTGGTGAGTGCATGTGCCCTGTAGCAAATCTTAAAAATAATAATAAATAAAATATTGTGTAGCTTTGGCAAATCCCTCAAACTTTCTGGGCCTCAGTTCCCACCTCCATAAAATGGGAAGAGTTGCACATGTCTCAGGGGACTGTTGTGAAGATTTAGTCCATGTAGGGAACCAGCAGTTGATGTAATGGCTATGTTGCTGGACTTCCATGCAGTCGACCGTGGTTCGCATCCCGGACCCGGTGGCTTAAAACTCACGCCGGGCACATGTGCGTGCGTGCCCAAGATCCCGAGAGGAGAATGGAGGAGAAGGGATTGTGGCGTGACCATTCCCCCTGGGGGGGTGATTTCTCACTTTCTGTCTCTATGTCTCTGTCTGTCTGGCGAGTGCATGCACCCTATAGCGAAAATCTCTCCAAAAAAAAAGAAAAAAAGATTTAATCCATGTAAAATGTTAGTGCTGGGACCAACAGTTAGCATAATGGCTATGTTGCTGAACTCCCGTGCAGCTGACTGCAGTTCGAGTCGTGGACCTGGTGGCTTAAATTCATGCCGGGCGCATGTACGTGCGTGCCCAAGATCCCAAGAGGAGAATGGAGGAAAAGGGATTGGGGCGTGGCCATCCCCCCCCCCACGGGTGATTTCTCACTTTCTGTCTCTCTATCACTCTCTTTCTGGTGAGTGCATGCACCCTATGGCAAAAACCTCTCCAAAAAAAAAAAGAAAGAAAGAAACTATACTTTCTGGAACCAGCAAATGGTGTCATGGTTATGTAGTTGAATGGTTTGAGTCTCAGACCTGGTGGCTTAAACTCACACCACCAGGGTGTGTATGAGCGCGTGCCCCAAATCCTGAAAGAACAGGGGAGAAGGGATTGCAGTGTGGCAAAAAAACCCCAAAAAACAAAAAGCAACAACAACAACAACAACAAAAAAAAAACAGAAAAAAATATAAAGAAAGAAAAAACCTGTTCCTAGGGTTCTCATCTTCCTCTGGAGGGGTATGTGCAGGGCCAGCGGGCAGACCTGCTTCCAGCTCCAGACCCTCCCCTCTGTAAATGGCGGGGAAGTGGCAAGTTTAAAGTCACTGCCTAGAGCTGCCTCAGGAGCTGACGTCTCTGAGAATCTGGCGAGAACAGCAGCCACTCTCCCTAAAGCACCCAGGCCCAGTTTGATGGCATTCAGACCTCTGCCTAAGGATCCCACCCCTGAGGACTGTGTCCTTGTCAGCCCAGAGCTTTCAAAACATTTCAAACTCTCGTACACTCGGCGGGGCCAGCGGGATGTGAGCGTGTTTCAGAGCACAGTGGCTGACCGCTAAGCCCGAGGATTCCTCTCACCCGCCGGCGAGGGGCACGGGCAGGCCACCAGGGCATACTCAGTGGCTCCCTGGTCCCTGCCCCAGGTCTGCCCGCACCTGGAAGCCCCGCCAGCCAGTGTCCCCTGCCACCACCCCACCCCCACACTTCCTCTTCCTGTTTTGGCCTGCTGCCCTGGAACCTGAGAGCTGAGAAAGGAGGCAGGGGAGAGGCCCCCGCGTGGCTGCCCCAGGCCCACCAGGCTCTTATCCACTCACTGGAAATGTCCAGAGCCACTAGGTGAGCCAGCCCCGAGTGGGGTACTGGGGTGCGCGTGGGGTACCTGTGTACAGACACATACTCCCGTCTGTTTCCTGCCTGGGGTCTCTGCATCCTGGCCACCCAAAACGTAGTGCATCTCCCCCACCACGCGACATTGAAGAGCCAGGAGCCAGGCCCAGGCCAGGGGCAAGGCAGTGGTGAGACATGATGCTCCGAGAGACTGACCACATGGGAGAGTTCTAGGTCCATGTTCAGAAACCGCGTACATCTAGCACATGTCTGCCGATGACCCAGGGCTGGCCAAGGCTGGAGGCGGACCGTGTCAAGGCCCTGCTGGGGTACTATATACCTCTCTCACAGAATAGATAAACTTACGAAAAAGAGAAGAGACCCACAGTCACACTCAGCTCTTCCTCTCATACAGCTGGTCGGGCAAGTGTCTCCACCTCTCTGTGCCCCAGCTTCCCTGGCTACAAAGTAGGAGCCTGCTCTACGGCTGTTATGTGATGACGACCCAGTGAGTTAGTGAACATAAAGTCCTGGGAACGAGACCTGGCATATCAGCTTAGTCAAGTATCAATGAGTATTGGCGATATCCTTCCTCTTTGGTAAATGGAAACTGAGGCTCAGGTCAGATGTCCAAAGGCTGATACTGCTGTGGGCGGGGGGATTCGACCTCAAGCCCCCTTGGCTCGAAGCCCATGCGTGCACCATGGGAGGAGCAGTGTGTCCCTCACGCCCACCGACGAGACTGAATGAGGCTCTGTGTGTACCTGTTTTGCACAAGGTCAGCCACAGGACGAGCTCCGTACATCTTGGTTTAAAGGAAATACTCAGGTCTGGCCAACCAGTAGTGTGGTGAAGGCAGCGGGCTCCCACATGGCTGAGTCTGTGGTTTGAGTACTGGATCCAGCCCTTGAAAAACAC